TCTTGTGAAACATATCTATCGTCTTTTTGCAAATTTTTTATTAAACTCTTTACCAATAACTGATTGTTAGTATATTTATATATCAATTTTACTTTGATTTTTTAACTAAGTCTTGTTCATAATTCATTCGAGACATAGTATTTTATAATCTTTACTCAAATTAGCATTTTTCCATGTTCGAGCGAAGTTTCTGCATCTCAAATTTTTGTTTTTTCTAATCAGGGATTTAAGTCCGTTATTTATCCAAAGAGTTTCTATACTTCTAATTTGTGAAACATCATTAGTGGGAAAAAATAAATCGCAAACAATGCTGGAGTAATAAATTAATTCATTAAACATGTCCTGAACTGGCACATTTTTGTACAGTTGTACCGATTCAACAATTGAAATGAATTGAGAAACTTTTCCATAACTAGCTTTTTTGTAAACAAGTTTATTATAGTTCATTAGTAGAAGTTTTATTTTATTTTTAAGAAAGTAAGTGAAAAATATTATCAAATGTCCTTGAGTGGTATTACCAAGCGCAAACTGTGTATCTATTGCACATACATTTCCGGATTCAGTCGTAAAAATCAAATCCAATATATTATCTGCCACTTTGTTTGAGACTTGGAAAGTTGTAGTGTTTATACGCTGATAAAGAAATATGTAATTTTATGTGTTACTGATGATATGTTCAATCACTTAATTTTTATTATTTGAAGATTTCCATTAGACCAATTAATTGAGGGAGAATTAAAGTCTCACATAATTAAAACATTTTTCAGCCTGTTTTATCAACATAATTTATAGCTTCTTAAAAACTAAATCAAAACCAGCTATATTAATAAAATCACTTGGCCTATAGAGGCAACAAACTAAATATTTATCTTTACCAAAGAGCAATACAACCCTTCTTCAATTTCGCTCTGTTCAATTTTGTTTAATTTTGCTCTGACTAAACTGAATATTGTTGAACTCTGAGGTAGTTTATTCCATCCGCTTGATTTATTTCTTCCCACTAAAATTTGTAAACAACATTTATATGACCATTATCTTTATAACATGAACATGGAAACAAAACAAACAATAGATGTAAAATTAGTTTCACTTTGATGTTTTACACATTGGGATGAAATACTATAGTAGATTATTCCATCCGCCTGATTTATTCCGTCCCAGAGCGTATTAACCACATTTATTTGATTCATGTGAATGAAAAATTTGTAAACGGTTTTATTTTCTAACTATTTTCGGTCATTTCTCACGACTATAGCTTAAACGGTACATTAAATGCAACATTATCATTAATGAAGTTGAGAAACCATGTTACTTTTTTGAAAAATCTTCTAACAGAACAAAAAGAAATAACTTAACAATATTTTTAGTGTTTTATTTTTGCCATTTATTACTTTATGCAACAAAATTGAAACTAAGAAGTGATTTTGAGTACAAAACTGGCACAAAAAAATTTGTTATTCAGTTCCACGATTTTAAGAAGTATAGGATTTGAAATTAAAAAGTTATAAATCCGCTTTTTTAAAGTTTTATAAAGTTTGTTAATTATTTTTTATAATTAGCAACTATTAACTAAAATTCAGAATAAAAGTAAATATATCTAAACACAAAGTAATTCTTTGGATATATAAAGGTTAAAAATAATTTTGTCCACCATATATCTAATAGCCGGCCCACTTTGGGCTGTGGAATTGCTATAGTTAGACCCTAACGTAATATTTGGTGACACTTTCCAACACTCTTCTTTCTCACGCATTATTTGAACAGTCCCTGTTGATTACTGATCATCTTTATATATATTAATGTATTTTTAATATTATAATCTATTGGCCGCGCATTCTCGATCAATTAAAATTACAACGTTTTTATTATTTCAATTTTTTTATTATTAAAATGTTTTTTTTATTACTATCTGCGTAAGATTTATTTAGAAACATATCTACTAGACTATTAAATTTAAACTAAAAAGTTTATTCCGCTTTTTAAAACAAAAAAAATAATATTTTTTAGCAAATGTTTTTGCTATATTTTATTTTCTACATTTTAGTCTTTACAATGAGTTACGATATTTGGCAATACGTTTGTCGAGGCTTTTGTTATTAAATTAAAAGAACTTCTTAGTCTTGTTAAGTAAACGGAGTTTTTCCTAATTAATCCAAAAAAAGAAATATGTCATGTCAACTTGATATATACTTGAATTACATATTCTAACATCTAGTGCAATATCTACCCGCTTTCTCGATGCTATCGTTCTGTCTCGACTTCTTATGACTTTTACTCTACTATCTTTCGCTCTTCTTAAAATCATTTAATCGTGGTCTGCAAAGCGGGTTATGATGCTCATTAGTGAGCTGAACTCGTCTTCGCGGGCCTTGGTATGTGGCCACTATATGGGAATTAGCTGGAGGAGGATAAACCGCAATACCAGCTCATGTCAGAAAAGAGAAAATTATATTTATAAAATAGTATAATTGTAAATTGTTGATATGTTTTGATATATGGTTTTTAATATAATTATTTTTTTTTGTATCAGATTTTGTACACCACCTGGGCCACTGCGCATTGCTATTAACTTTATGAAAATTAAAAATATTACATATTTCTACCTTAGGGTAGGTTATGTGAGTAAGGTATATACCCCTAGTAAGGTTTAATTTTCTACTTTTTAAGAAAACTATATGCTATTTTCAACCTAATAGCCTACCCTAAGGTAGAAATTTTTATTTTTTTTATTAGTGTGTAGCAATAACACAAGCAATAAAATGTGTATATTTTAATGGTTCACATGCATATGAATGGATTTTTGCATCACCTCCTTAACGGTTTAAGCTAAGTTCAAATAGAGGAAGAAGCAAATACAGTATCTTCTTTATTTAAATGTAAAATTCTATTGGCTCGAAAGATTAATTGCTTCCATTTCTGCTTTAATACAAGAATCAGTTGAGTCTGATGCACTGGATTTGACCAAAGAACCTTAAATGGTACTTAATTCCGTAAGTAATCTTTTAGGTACTTGATCGTGTTATTAAAGAAACACAATCACTGACGCAACCAATTAGATATGAAATTTTGTCATCATAAATTTTAAAACACATAAAGCATAACTTATTTTTTTATTCTTAAATAATTTTCCTGACGTAAACTAACATTTTAAATTAATATGCATTCCTTTCAGCAAATTAAATTGGTTTTATTGAAAAAAGATATTTTGTTGAAAATGTATTTTTGTTTTATTCTAGATAAAATTTTTAGATACTATATTATATCTGTTTAGAATTCCAGGGTAATTCCCGGAAGATATCAATCCCGAGTTTAGAAAAAAAAATTTAAAAATAATCTTGAAGGAAGGGATTGTTATCCTGAAAATTTGCATTCCAGAATGCAAAGTTTGCATTTCGGAAACCATTTTGTGTGTGTGTGTGTGTGTGTGTGTGTGTGTGTGTGTGTGTGTGTGTGTGTGTGTGTGTGTGTGTGTGTGTGTGTGTGTGTGGCTTTTGATCAACTACTGTTGGATTGTATTCATTTTGTTCAATTCGTTAAACAATATCCTTTAAAGTAGAATTCTTTTCAGTGTTTCTAAATAAACTATGATAACTTGCTGTAAGAAATCGGCGAAAAATATATCAATTTAGTATTAACATGTACCTTACCTTTTTTTTATTTCAAGAATTAACGCAACCCTTATTTCTACACTTAATTGTCAACTTTTTCTTCGATAACTTTCCCTTTAATTGGTCCAACATAAAGTTTAACGTGACATCGCGAGTTGTTAAACACTGCAAGTTATGTGATGTGTAGATGCTATCTGCACAACACAATCTATTAATGTTGATTCTTATACTAATGGCGTTACGTTTTCCATTAACTTTTTTTTTGTTAAACTAAATCATTTTTGGTCGGAAATTTTTTTAAAGTTTTAAAGACTTTTCTAACTTTTTGTTACCGAAAAAATAAATGTCAGTGTTTTTAATATAACTTTCCCTTGATAAATCAATTGACACGTTTATTCCTGTATTAAATTCAGTTTCCTCAGTTTTCGAATTTGTAGAACCATAAACAACACAGATCAACAACAACAACAAAAAATTTGTTTTTTGTATAGCATTTTTCATTTTGAGTTCAAATATGCAACTCATTTTTCACCATCACGTCAAGTTGTAAAGATATTTGGGTTCAATCCTTTAGTATTTAAAACAAAATCCCTAATATTGCCAAAAAATAAAAAAATTATTCAAAAGCATGTCAACCTGGGTCTCAAAAGAAGCGTATTTTCAAGGAGATTTTAGAAAACTTAAATATTAGTGCTTAAAATTTATTGAAAAAAAAAACTTATGTGAAAAAAAGACTGGTAAAAAAAATTTTAACACAATTTTTCTAAGCAATAATACAAAAAGTATTAATTTTTATTAAAAAAGAATATTATTTTTAAAATCTCTATGAAAATACGCTTCTTTTGAGACCCAGGTTGACATACTTTTAAATAACTTTTAAACAAATTTCTTTTGACAATATTAGTGACTTTACTCATAATGCATAAAGATTTGAACCCAAATATCTTTAATACTTGATGTGATGGTGAGAAAATGAGTTGGGTATTTGAAATCAAAATGAGAAATTCAATACAATAAAAAAATTGTTTGCTCGGCACCAGAAAATTTTTTTGTTGTTGACCTTTGTAAGTTTATATTTTTATGCTATTAGATTGTTTTTACTTTCTTGCTCCATAGCAGAACCGTTTTTTGGAGAAAACTTTAACTATGGCTAGTTGTATCCAATGTGCTATACATAATTGATGTTGAATCTGCAAAAGTTGCCCAAATCAATACTTTAAATTCATTATTTTTAAACACAAAATAATCATCAAAAATGTAAATTAAAAATACCGGTTTTTAGAGAAAAAATACCGGTAATACCAATTTTCATTATACTCCCAAATACCGGTACTACATTACGACAGTATCGTAATGATTTTGCATGCTTTGATCAAAATTAAAGGTATTGTATAACATTTTTGCATTACCTTTTTTCTTTAAAACATTTTTCTTAAAAAAATAAAACGGTGTTAAATCACACATAATAAAATCACGTATTATAAAAATCTGCAAAATATCTAAAAATATGTAAATACAATATTGGATGTGCCATTTTATTGTTATTAGATGCTATATCTTATTTTCAAATATAGTCAGAAAATATAGAATCTCGGAGAATTTCACACGAACAAGAATGCCCTAGGGATATTCTTACATCTTTTGAATTACAGGTTACTGTTTTTGATAATAAATTAGTAGCACACCCTCCTTCACCTGTTAAGCAAGTTTCGTAATAGTCTTCATCTTGACACGTGACGTGATAATGCTGTCGTGGAGTGCAACTAAAAGATAATTTTTTACAAAATTTTTAAATTATATCTAACAATTTAAAAAGTTAATCTAACTCAGAAATCTTCATCTTAAGTATTTGCCACTAACAGAACTAAAATCAATTTTTTCTGTCAAATTAGCTGCAAAATAGCTTATTAATATATATATTTTTTAAACTGATGCTATAAAATATATTTTTGCTTTTGCTTTTGACTAATAAAAAAAAAATTAAATTAATAAAATTATGATTTTCGGATATAAATTTTTTTTTAGAAATAAAAAATACAATACAATTACGTTTTATTTTTGTTTAAAGAGCTCTTTTTTTTCAATGCTTATTTTTTTCTTTTCAAAGCTTGGCGGAACGTTAACGACTGATTTATTATCCCGGTGGGAAATGAGCGACTAGCTAGCGAATAGGTAGCTTTATAGCAATTTTTTTTTTTTTTTTAATTTTTGTTTCGTTTTGTCTTTAATGTCATAAAAAATTCGATTTGTTATATTGGATCTATTATATTTATGAGAACGATTGAAATTACAATCTTGCAACTTTATTACGACATACGACATGTCGTAATAAAATTGCAGATAACGCAGCTTTATAGCCATTGATATTTCTTTGATCAATTGTTAGCTAATTATCATAACTAACAGCAACAATGCTAAATCTGTAGCTAGTTGATGGCTACGTTTCGCAACTTTGTAGCTAGCGATATCATTACGGAATACCGATAGCTACAGACCATATGTAGTTAACTGCGAAATAATGATAAATCATAAGCTAGTTGATGGCTGCATAGCTAGCTTTTTAGCAAGCGATGTCATTACAATATATAGATAGCTACGTGAATAAGTAATAAATTGATAAATGTGACTTTGTTGTATGCATTAATCAGTCGCAAAGTTTTGCTAGTTATTCGTTAGCAAAACTCAGCTATTTTTAATTATTTTTTTAACGAAGTTTTGCTAGCAATTAAGTAAAAAATTCTCAACTTTTCTTGCCAGTGATCCTTGTGATTAAACCGCTGTCTTTATCGTTACGAGTTGGTGTCTTTGTAACAAATATCGCTGGCTAGTTGCTAACCAATTTCCTACCGAGTAATAAATTTAAAAATATGCTATTTCATTAAAACAGCGTTATTTTCTAAAGAGATAACTTTCAAGTTAAAGATCTTAGCCCTATCGATTCTTTGAACTTATAGTTTGAACAATAAATATTCTGAAATGACAAAGTTTTTAGTTTTAAATTTTGAAACTTTGAATATTTTTAATATTAAATTATTTTTATAAAAATTTATGACCTAAGATTGAACAAAATCTTTTATTATTGTCTGAACTAAATGAAAAAATCCCTGAACATTAAAACCCTATAAATATATATATATATATATATATATGACCAGTTTGAGAACCTTTTTATTTTCCTTTTGTTTGTGTCTCTAATTTTTAATTTAATTAAAAAACTTTATTTCATGTTGATTCTTAAAAGATTACTAATTTAAATCAACACATTTAACTTCATAGAGAGTACACACACATATAAATGTCATTTAAAAAATTACAATAACTTCATTAAAAAAAAAAAAGAGCGAAGAGGCTCTATATAATGTATAGCATATTGAGCCTTTAGGAGGTAGACTGAGTTTCTTCTACAACGGAGTTTATGCGTAAGTCAAAAGATTTTTCATAAATATCGGATTTAGACAATTAATAGATTTAAAAACTTCTTTAATAATAAATCTCAAATTTCTTAGATGGATTCTTGGACTATTATCAAAATTTAATTTATAACCTCCTCAACACTATAATCACAAGCATAAATAGTATTATTATTAGCAAAATTACAAAGTTCCGTATCTTTAATAAATAAAAATAAATCATTTTTAAAGATATTGAGTAAAATAGGTCCAAGGATTGACCCTTGAGGCACTTCAGATAATATATTTACCCAATTTGAGGCAGAAGATCCTAATTTTACCCTTTGTTTACGGCCACAAATATAGGATAGCAAGAGATTAGAACTTTCTTTCGAAAAATCATAGGCATTTGAGCAATTATTAAGTCATGCGGTATATAGTCGTACGCTTTTGAGAGGTCTATTAAACTTGATCCAATAACACCTCCATTGTTAATACAATCACGCCACGTATAACGAAAAAAGGCATGCTGAGTACTATAACCTTTTCGAAAACTACACAAAAGTTTATCAAGTTTAAGCTCAAAAAATATTATATATTAAATATAAAGTATTTTCAAACTGTAGAAAGGGCTTGTAAAATACTAATTGGACAGTAATTCGACTTCTCAGTTGGGTCATTCTTCTTAAAACATGGTATAACATCAGCCATTTTTAGAAATGACAGGAATTTACCATCATGGATACAATTACTTATGCAATCCGTAAGACTCTCCCTTAAGTGAACAATATAAGATTTTAAAATGAAAGTTAATATATCACCACTAGTCTTTTTCTTATTATCCATAGACCCTATAATTTTTGTAATATCATCAGGTGTGATTTGATGGAACGGGAAACTATGCGTATTCAAACTAAATTTTTTCTTTATCTTTATTATACTGGTATGATCAATATACTTTTTGATAGCTGTATCAACTGGGTCTATAGAGCAACAAAATAAAGGCGAATGTATGAAGTCTGTACTACCAGATGGCACTGCAACGTTTATAAAATAGTTATTAAAAATATTAGTCAATAAAGAGTTGTCAGTGATGATGTTACCGTTTTCAACTAAAGTGATACGTTCGTTAGAGTTACCTGATTTATCTGAAAGGAACGGTTTAGTTAACTTACAAAGAGATGTAACTGAAATAGAGAGATTGTTAATTTACCCAAAATAAATTTTCTTTACTTTACATTTTTAATTTTACTACCTTATTTCTTTGTTTTTTGTACATAAGCGCCGAAATATCAGATTTATCACTAAGGAATTTTTTATATAATGTAAAGCGCGCTCTACATATCATAATAAACTTTTTAAGTCGAAAAGGTTTATTGTGACAAGGTGCTCTACATATCATAATAAACCTCTTAAATCTAAAATACTTAAAGGTAATAATAAACCTTTTATATCATAAAAGGTTTATTATTACCTCTAAAATATTTTAGACTTAAGAGGAACATACAAATTTAGAATTTTGCAAAATATTTCATTAAAAGTATCTAAATCATAACAAGAATTTAATTTTTTATGTGGTTGCAAATTTTTCGCTTAAAAAATTTTTAAACAATCTATATATTAGTTTTTTAGGTGGTAACTTACAAAATGTAGATCTAAGCATTGTGTATATTAGTTGATGATGATCACTCACACCTGTACAGAAGGTATTCGAATTTTGAAAGCACAATTTTCTATTAGTGAGTATAAGATATTTACATGAAGATTTATTAACCGATTCAAAGCATATTGGTCGTTTAATTAAATTAATGCAGTGATAAAGTTAAAGAAATCGGCAAAAAATTGGCAAAAAACATATACGACACCCACCCCACTCCATGAGAGGCCTTTTCGGGACGGCCCTATATATATATATATACATATACATATATATATATACATATATATATATATATATATATATATATATATATATATATATATATATATATATATATATATATATATATATATATATATATATATATATATATGTATATATATATATATATATATATATATATATATATATATATATATATATATATATATATATATATATATATATATATATATATATATATATATATATATACATATATAAATTCGCAGAAAAACGCTTAATAAAAAATTTTCATTTAATGCTGTCAATAAAGACTCGTCAGAAACATATTTCTGATGAGTCTATAGATGAAACACAGTGTTAAATGAAATTTTTTTGTTAAGTGATTTGCTACTACTTACGTGTTCATGTATATATACAGGTGCAACTGTATGATAAATCTTATGTTGAGTATATTAACCTTCTCCTGATTGGATTCTTTCCAAATTATTGACAAAATCTTTTTGAAACAATTTTTGAAAACTTTTTAAAGTTTTGAAATTTTTATGCAAAAAAAAAATGAAAATTACCTTGCTGGAAGTGTAACTAGATGAATGCATTCCCTACATAAGCTGTAATGAGTACCAGCGTTATTTAAAGATTTTTTTGGTTTGCAGCATTTTTTTAAATCAGTGCAGTAAACAACTTGTGATCCCTCGGGAAGATATTGCGGGGCTTTCCACGATTGTGCCGCTTTTTTTTCTCGTGACTTTTTTGACTGTGAAGGTGATCGCGTGGGCAGAGCATACTTTGATGATGCTAATATAAATAAAAATTATAATACACTGAAAAATTTAGAACCTTATAATAAATTCCTAATTTGTCTTAGAGAGAGAATAAGATTACAAAGTAATCTCTCTGAAATATAAAATCCAATATATGTATTTTGAGATTTAGTTTATTAACATATGTTTTAACTAGTTTTCTTGGTTTAGGTTTCAATTACCACGTTTCAATTATGGCTAAGTTGAAACGTGGAATTATGCGTAGTACAATATATACAGTATAATGTAGATATTGAATTATGCTGAATATATTGAATAGATTTGGTTGACTCCCTAGTGTACTAAGCTGATTAATCGGATTACTTTTGGATTTGTTACATGGCGAGAAAAAGTATATTGGCCGTGTACAACTTTTAAATTGTATCATGAAAAAGGATAAATTTTTCTAGGATTTGTTCTCTTGAATGCTTTTATTTTATTTTTTTTTTTAAATGCAATTATTCTCTTGAATGCTTATTTTTTTTATTTTATTTGCAATCACTTAAATGTTAATATTTTATCAATTTATTGGCCTTTCAATTAAAATTAGCAGTTTTTTCCTAAGTCTTACTGTTCTCTTTATAAGCTAACTGTGTCACCTTGTTTAGTAGGGGTAAGTTGAGCAGCTTTGAAAGAAATAAAAATGAGCTATCAAACACTAAGAAACAACTTTGATATAAATACTATAAAATACTATAGCGGTACTCATATATATATATATATATATATATATATATATATATATATATATATATATATATATATATATATATATATATATATATATATATATATATATATATATATATATATATATATATATATATATATATATATATATATATATATATATATATATATATATATATATATATATATATATATATATATATATATATATATATATATATATATATATATATATATATATATATATATATATATATATATATATATGTATTTATATTTATATTTTTATTATCGATAAAAAACAAATTTGAAAAAAGCTTTCGAAAATTTTTGAATAGCCAATTTAATTTCAAAAACTAAATTTAGTTTTGAAAAGTGAAATTGATTTCGAAAAAAAAAGTACTTTTAATAAGCTAAATTATTTTTGAAAATTGAATTTTGAAAAGTTATATTATTATAGTTATATTAATTTCGAAAAAAAAGATCTTTAATAAACTATATTAGTTTCGGGAAAAAACAAACTTTTCAAAAAAATTGAACTTTTAAAGTTAAATTCGTTTCGAAAAAAATGATTTTGAGAACCAAATTATTGTTTAAATTATCTTCGAAAAAAAAAACGAGTTTCAAAATGTTGAACTATTTGAGGTGGACATTCAGAAAAATGTACATGAGTTGGCTAGAGGTAAAGGTTGGTCAGTTTGTTGTCCCAAAAAAAAAAGTTTTTATGCGCCATCAAAAACTTGGCTTTTATATGTAAAAAGATGAAATATATAAAATATATTGATCTGGGACAAGTGTAAGAGCTTGGTGTAAAACTTGAAATTTTCGAAAAATGTTAATTTTTGCCATATTTTTTAAGTTTTTATTATTTTAAATGTACCTGTGATGAAAAAAAGGGTGAAATTTATTTAAAGCATTTTTTTAACTGTTATTTTTTAAAGAAGTCATCTTTTACTTACATTTAATAGTATATATCAAATTTTTTCTTGATTATTGGTATTTTGTTGATCACCGTTATTTTTTACTCATTAACACCTAGTAACCAAGTTCTAGATAGCGCACACCTCATTATTCCAAAAAAATGCATTCAGCGTATATATATATATATATATATATATATATATATATATATATATATATATATATATATATATATATATATATATATATATAATATATATATATATATATATATATATATATATATATATATATATATATATATATATATATACGCTAAATGCAATTTTTTTTATTTTTTATTTTTGATACAAACTTAAAATGCAAAAAACATTAAACTTTTATACTAAAATTCATAAAAATTTGTTTCTTGATGAAACAAAAATAGAATTTTTTTTTTAATCAAAAGATATCAGCTTTTGCTTTGGTGATCAATCTAATTTTTTTACGTGAATCAGTAAAATTCCTGAAACTGAAAAAGTAACCCCCAACAAAATGCTTCAACATTTTACATATTGATCAAAACATAGAGAACACTTGTTCAGAAAAAAAATTCTGTTCGAAATTATATAACTTTCGAAAAAATATAAAGAAATTTCTTTTGCCATCTTTAAATCCAATATTGGCAAGGTAAGAAGTTGCACATAAATTTTGAATTTAATATCAAACGTGACCCAAAAGTTTTCTCTAAATAATTTAAAAAACTTGTGTGACACTATGCGATTGATTAATTATCACTACAATAATTTATATTATAATTCTAATTATCATAGCTATTGTATAAATAAAGATATAAAAACATTCAGTTTTTTCAATTTTTAATGAGAGTTATTTCTAACTGTGAAGAGTTGCACACGATTTTTCTTCTAGGACTTGTAAGTATTTAAGGTATTGAGTTTAAATATCCAAAGAAAGTTATGGAATACCCAAGGCCTGTTCTTATATTAGGACTAGAAATTGAAAAATATTTTATAGTATTCTTACAAAATGGCCCGGTACGGAAGAGTCGCTAAGTTATGTAAAAATATAAGCAATCAACGTTAATACAACATGGTCCTAACATAATAATTAAAAAAACTCGTGTGGTTTTGACACACAAATGACATAACATGAATTAAAAATTGAATAAAAATGAACTGCAAGAAAAATTGCAAATTAAATGAAGCATAAATCAAACATTTATATGTGTTTCTATTTGAAAATTTGATATTTATTCAAAAATCGTCTCATGACGTCCAGACTTCCGTTTGACGTCCGACGGAGTTCCTCGGGTAGTTTTCTTCGGTTAATGAATAATTGCCACAACCATTGGTAAGGAAAGGAGCATTTAAGAGAAGTTCCTAAAATTTTTTCTATTGCTCAAATTCAAGATGCTAGACTTGTCTAAAAATGGTGAAACTAATATGATAACATTTCTATACTAATTAGCTCGTATTAATATATGTACAATTATTTTAAGACATTTTAGTTTATATTTGTTTGTTCGTTTTTATAATACAATGAGAATTGATAATATTGTATTATGTTGCATGTGATGTTCTCATCAAGGAAAATATCTAAAAATTCTTTACGCACATATGTCCCTAAGCAAACTATATAAATATAATAAGCAAACTATGTGGCCCTAAGTACAAGACTCGATAGCCTCGTGAAAAATGCCATTTTATACCAAGCACGGATTGAGAGGAAACTTATTTAACATTGCATTTAGTACTTAGGTAATAAACAATATAGTATAAAAAAATTTATAAAAAAAATTTCCTCAAGAATTATAAAACAATCTGAGATACCACAGCAAAAATTTTTTTTAAACAATCAAAAAGCGTTCTCCAATCATAACTTGCTGTAGCAACGCTCTGTGAAAATCAAAATAGAATGAAAATTAAAAATGTTTATAACTAATCACCTGACTGAGAAGCATAAGTTTAGAACTTTAAATAAAGCGGGGTCACCCCAAGTACACAAAATTCTCCTAATAAACAGATAATTTTTTCAGTTTAGTAGTTTATCTGTAATAATTGGTCAGCAACTACTGACTGTAGTAATTGGTTATCAAAAAGTGTTTTTTTTTTTACTTTTATTTTTGTTATTTACAAAAGTATGCTTACACATAGCTTAAAATGATTTGTTTAACCTTAAAAAATATTTAAAACTTTTGAAAATGTTTTTCTTTAAATGTTTTTTACATTTTATTCATATTGCTTGTACATCTTTTTATTTTAGAGCGCTGTTTTGTAAAAAAAAAAAAAAAAAAAAAAAAAAAACTTGAAAACTAATATATGCTTTGGATAATAGTACCTCCACAGTATATCCAATATTCTATTATTTTTTATATTAAAGAGCAACCCAACCAAACCCACCATTTTTTTTTTCATTGTTTATATTCTGTATTTTTATTTTGTTTTTTTTTTGTTTTCAAAATGATTAAACTTGCTATTGAAGATATTCTTATCTTCAGAATTGATTATCTCTTCTGTTAAAATATTTCATTTATTAATGATTCTGTTTGTGAAGAAGTTAAACCTTATGATAGTATGTGTGAATTGTTTTTGTATTTTCTGTGTATGACCTCTTGTTATTGTTTAGCAAAGTGAGTTTAATACATTTGGTAAAGTTGTATTCTATACCTAATATTGAAAGTATGTAACATCTATCGTTACTTGTAACATAAAATTTTCTGTTCTATTATACAAGTATTTAATTATTCTCGGAGGATTCCATTCTAGGAGGATTCCATTAAACTTTATCCATATTTTTACTCATTTTATAATAATTGAATCATTTCATCTCTTGCTCTTCTTGTTTTTAAAGGCCTCAAATTAAATCTTTTCAGTCAATTTTCATAGCAAGCACTCTTTAATCTAGTTATTTGTGTAGCCCTACGTTGTATTTTTTAAAGTTTATCAATGTCCTTTTGGTAATAAGAGTTCTGTACATACGCCGCAAAAGTGTGGACAAACTAACGACGTGTTCAATTTCATTGTAATTTCATTTAACCGACAAAAAGATTTCTTTATCTAAACAAGCTTTCTATTAGCTCTTGCTGCAACTGTGTTAGTATACCTTTCCCATTTGATGTTGTTCTATATCATAACACCAAAATCTCTTTCTAACATTAACTGAAACATTTTGATCAATCATATCGAGTTTGCTGAACATAAAATACTTGCAGTTCAAGCTTTGTGTTTGTTTTAAACCAACGTACTATATGTTCTTGAATTTCATATGATTGTAGTTTTAATAATAATTATTTTTGTGCAACTGAGTTAAAAGCTTTAGCAAAGTCTAGAAAAACTATATCTATTGCTAAATTGTCATCAAGTGCTTGGGTTATTATGCCTAATGTTTTGAGTAAATTAGTGCAAAATATTTTAGATGATACAAAGCCATGTTGAGAGTCTAAGAGTAAACTGTTCCGAGTCAAGTCATTCATTAGTGTGTCTCTGTTTATGCTTTCTAAATTATTTATATATTGGTAAACTATTTTGAAATTCTTCTTAGCATTTGTCGCTATTTCGTGCTCATATTTAACAATTGTATTTTAATTGCCTTTTTCGTTGTGTTTTTGATAAATTTTTACTTCGCCTCAAGTTCATGATCGATCTTGATTTATACTTTGCCTCAAGTTCTTGATCGATCTTGATTTATACTTCGTCTCAAGTTCTTGATCGATTTTGATTTATACTTTGCCTCAAGTTCTTGATCGATCTTGATTTATACTTCGCCTCAAGTTCTTGATCTCTGAATTTTATCATTTCTACATTTTATTCTTTACATTTTTTTTGCCTTCATCAATGCAGATGTGTTTTTATTAAATCAAGGTTTAATAAAAGCCTATCTGCATTTTTTATTATGCAATTGAAATTTTGGCTCATTTATATTTTGAAATAAATAATATTTGTCTTAGCAGTCCATGAATATACTAGCTATTTCATTTTGTTCTTCCAGATGGGCAATACATTCGTCGCTCCGAGCAATTTTTTTTAAATTAAAATGCCCTTTTAAAAAAATGCCACTATATATTTTATTTGAAACCATTTTATGTGCTACTTTGATTAAATTTGTAATTTTCATACGATTTTGATTGCCATTTATTACATGACGGTTTATGCAACCACATAGTATTGACTTATTTCAAACTACTATGGTACACCATGTTTGTTCGATCTGTTGGCTTTGTAGCACACCATTTGAAATTTTGAAACATTTTATTGAGTCTTTGACGTATATGCAAATAATTCGGCGATGCAATAAATTTGGTCTCGTTCAAACAGTGAACATCCTTGAATGCTTTTTAGAGAGAAATTTTTCCACCATGTTATACAGACAAACATAATATCTGAAATATTTAGTTCTAATTCAACTATTAGAATAAATACAGAAATTATCCATGTTGAATAGATAAGTATAGGAACGGTCAGTGTGGTGAAAACCCGTATATTACGAATCCGGACAGCTAGGATATATATAAGAAACAAATATAAAAAAAGTTTTTGTGGAATTTTTATATATTTATACTGTCATCAGTAATTATTATTTACAAATTTATTGATATTATGCACAGTAAAAACAGTTCGTGGTAAGAAAATGAATATTCTAATTATTGACGGAGAGAGACAAT